TGGCACTGTGAGGCAGATTTGATAAGTTTTCGATTCTTAATGCATTTCCTTCCTTCCCTACTTTGTGACTTACAGCCCCCTTCCATCTTTGATATTAACATGTTTCTTTTTTCTTTTTTAAAATTAAAAACAAAACCTCTTATTTTAGTTGTGAGATTGCACTAGAACTGTGCTTATCATAAGGTCTGAGAACTCAGACAAGATTTCATTAAATGTCAGGTGTTTTCATCTTTTGCCGTTTACTAAGCAATATAACTTAAGCCTAAACAATTTTGTCTCATAATCAGTTTTGTCTCATATCTGTCATAGTGATGGATATTATTATCACCATTTTACAGAAAAGATGAATAAACTGTGACTCATAGAAGTTAAAAGATTTAACGTTGTCACTGCTTGATCATTTCAATATCATAAGACTGTAGAGTTATTGGCCTTTGTATTCTGTTTCTCTTTATATCAGTTTTTATCTCTCTTGTTTTTCCTCTCCCTTGCATTGTACGTTTCATCTACCTCTCTTTCTTCTTCCCTCTTTACCTATTGCACCCTCTACCCCCATACACACACTAGATTTTTTATCTCCCAAGAGAAAAAACTTGTTGGAACTCTCTGTAGATTATCAGCATGATTTACTCCCTTACCTCCTTGAGGATTTTGATCAAATATCTTGGATTACCTTTTCTGTGAGGCCTTCTCTGACCATCATGTTTAAAATTAAATCTTTCTTGCCACCCCTTCCGAGTTCTATTTTCTGTATGCAGCTTTTTACCTCTAATGAGTCATATAATTTACCTATTTTTTGTTTAGTTTTTATTTCCTCCCACTAGAGTGTAAGCCCCGTGAGGTTCCAGATTGTTATTATTTTGCTTCAGTGTTGTATTCCCAGCTCCTACAATAATATTTGGCATTAGCAAACACTTGCTAAACATTTATTGAATGAATGAATAAACCACTATATCCTCATCTTTTGATTCTTTATTACCTTGCACATAGTAATTACCATTTGGTTGAATTTAGTTGCTTTTAAATAAGAATTCTGGTTTCTGAAAAAGATTCTAATTTTGTCTTCCAAAATTCTGTGAGTGAAAAATATATTTTTTCCTAAGCAGTTATCTCTATTTTCTTTTTCTTTCTATCTTATTTTTAAGGAAATTGGTAGTAAATTTCAAAATATTATAAGTTGTTTTTCTAAAACTTAGCATTTTAAAATAGCTTTTTTCCTCCTGTTTTTTCCTTGAATTTATCCAATTTTCATGTGTTGGGGTTATCAAAGCTGCTAATTCCCACATGCTCTTTAAAACTGTCAGTAGAAGAGGAAAAACCTTTAGATTTTTTTTCAATTGAGATTTGTTATCAGTTGGTAACATGGAAGCAATATTAAGAGTAATTTGATTTACAATCACTTTTTTTAATTTCAAAGTATAATATTAAGGGGGTACAAATGTTTTGGTATATACATGTATTGCTTTTGTAATGCTTGAGTCATAGCTATAAGTGTGCCGATCACCCAAATGGTGTTCATTGTACCCATTAGGTAGGTTTTTCCCCTTTCTACCTTCCCCCTTCCCCCTGCTTGATTTCCACTAAGTTTTACATTCCTCTGTGTCTATGTGTGCTCATCAGTTAGTTCCAGTTTAATAGTGAGTACATGTGGTGTTTGTTTTCCCATTCTTGTGACACTTCACTTAGGATAATAGTCTCAGTTCCATCCAAATTATTGCAAAAGGCATTAATTCATCCTTTTTTATGGCTGAGCACTACTCCATGGTACACATATACCACATTTTGTTAATCCACTCATGAATTGATGGGCACTTGGGTTGATTCCACATCGTTGCAATTGTGAATTGTGAATTGTGCTGCAGTAAACATTCAAGTACAGGTGTCTTTTTGATAAAATGACTTTTTTTCCTTTGGGTAGATAACCAGTAGTGGGATTGCTGGATTGAATGGTAGGTCTACTTTTAGTTCTTTAAGGAATATCCATACTCTTTTCCATAGAGGTTGTACTAATTTGCAGTCCCACCAGCAGTATATAAGTGTTCCTTTTTCTCTGCATCCATGCCAACATCTGTTGTTTTGGGGCTCTTTAATAAAAGCCATTCTAATGGGTAAGGTGATATCTCATTATGGTTTTAATTTGCATTTCCTTGATGATTAGTGACGTTGAGCATTTTTTCATTTGTTTATTGGCTGTGTGTCTGTCTTCTTTTGAAAAGCTTCTGTTCATGTCTTTTGCCCACTTCTAATGGGGTTGTTTGTTCTGTTCATTTGCTTGAGTTCTTTGTAGATTCTGGATATTAGCTCTTTATTGGATGTATATTAATAGCTTGTGAATATTTTCTCCCATTCTGTAGGTTGCCTATTTGCTGTATTGATTATTTCTTTAGCTGTGCAGAAGCTTTTTAGTTTAATCAAATCCCATTTATTTATTTTTGTTGTTGTTATACAATCACTTTTGAGAACTGTTTGGCACTATCTACTAAAAATTAAACACATACATACCCTGTGATCCAGCAATTCCATTTGTAGGTGTATACTCACCAGAAAGATATGCCGAAAGATATGTGCAAGAGAAAGTTACTAGCAGCATAATTCATAATAGTTTAAAACTGAAAGCGACCATAATGTTCACCAACAGAATAAATTGTGATATATTCATATAATAGAATGATATACAGCAACAAATTGATTACCACTACATGCAATAGGATGGATGAATCACCTGGACATAATATAATGTTGAGCTAAAGAAGCCAGACATAAAAGAGAACATACTGTTTAGTTCCATTTATATAAAGTTCAAAAATAGGAAAAACTAAATCTGTGGTAAATAGAAGTCAATGATAGTGGTTGTTTTGGGGGAAAGAGTAATTACTGGGAGTGCCAACACTGGTGTTTCTAGAGTTCTGGTAATGTTCTATATCTGGATCTCAGTGGTGGTTACATGGGAGTGTTTATTGTAAAATTCCATTGAAATGTACATTTTAGATGTACTTCACTGTATATATGTTGTGCCTCAGTTTTAAAAAATACTTGTATTATTCCCCCCTACTCACTCTAAAGTAAGTTTGGTAACAGAAATACATCTATATATCTATACATCTAGAAATCTGTTTAATCCTGATCTTGACCCATAAATAGTTGATATCTTTCTACTTTTGGCACAACACTCTGAAATGTGTGGTCTTCACAGTGGATAATATATTCCGTATTTTTATATATATATATTTTTCATTGTCAAGAACACCTTAAAAAGAGAATAGCTACCTTTTAAACTTTATTACAAAGAGTGTTGTTTTAGTAATATATATTTTTTTTTAAGATAGGGCAGCTAGCCCCAACACATGACCTTGCACATAGAAAATACTCATTAGCCTTCAGTAGTGGAATATGCCATATGCCATATGGGTTGCTAAGGGCCAACCTGCCTGAACAGGCTACATAAGGACCTCTGAGCACAACCCATTGTGAGGAAATATGGGTTGTTTCTGTGGTTCTAGAATTCCTAGAGCTCTGATTCAGCATTGGAAGCTTCTGCTCACAGTTTTTTTCACTGTTCTCCATATTTATATTTTTAAGTGAAAAAAATCATACCGATCAATTCTCACATAATTTTTGAAAGGTGTAATTTGGATGAAGTGCCATGAAGCCCACTCCAGGCATAATTGCCTTTATATCAATGACTTTTGGACCTTTTTTTTTCCCCATAGCCCACAATACAAAACATAGAACCTGTTTTTGTGTAACTGAAATAAATGCTTCGTAAAACAGTACATTCTTGTATCATATGTGCGGTCTCACAGTTTTATTCTATTCATTAAAAAGCAAGAAACAATTTGTGATCAACTAAATTTTCATAATGAAATTGCACTAGATAATACAAATATATGAGTATGAACAAGAATAAAATCGGACTTTTATTTTCAGATTTTTAGTTATATCTAGTTTTCAGTACTTAATAAATTTAGCTAGTTGTCAAAATAAATGTTTTTTACTGTTTCAAAGAACAGTCCCATCCTTCTTTGCTTCTGATAATTTTTAGGCATGCCTTCATTGATTTTGTTTTTTGTTTTTTTGTTTCTTTGTTTGTTTGGGGTTTTT